ATTGAAGAAGCTCTTTTGGTATAATTCCAAAAAGTACACTAGTGTCAATGATGTTTGAAGGATTAGGATCAAATAAGGCTAAGAAGATTATGGATGTCTGTAGATAAGTCTGAAAGATTTGTCTGGATGGAATGTCTGTTGAATTACCACAAGATAAGATAAAGGAATTATACAATTGAGATGATAGTTGTTGACTAATAGTGGATCTTGCTTTACTAGCTGCTGGATAAGTCCATAAATGAGATTGATCTTTGACAGCTGATTTGCATATATAGCAAATGTCATCTTTATAAATGTGAGGTTTACAGATTTTAAGATACTGTAGAGTGAGTAGCATATTGTAAAATAACTTGACAAAGAAAGTGTGGAGTTTGGAAGCATGAGTGATAGTTTGTATGCTATTAATTCCACCATCTTGATTCTATACTGAGAGTGTACCAGACCAGTCTGTACTTTGTATTAAGGATTGCAGGTTGTATTTGATTCTTGATTCTTTCTGCCACTTGTAAATGCAAGAATGATGATATATTTTTTTAAGAAATATTCTCAGGTTGGTATCTATAAGAATGGTTTGATTGAATATGGGTGTGAAATTAGTGTGTGGTAATTATTGATAGTTAATGTAAAGAGTATTTGCTTTGTGACCCTAATTTGCGAGTTTGTCAGCTAGATCATTATCTGGATTATTAGAATGATCTTTAACTTTGTGGAATGTGATATTAAGAGTTTTATTATTGATATTAGTGTTGAGAATTTTTCATAATGGCCAGTTAGGTTGTTGATACAAAAATCAAGCTGATTGTAATGGTCATGATAGGATATTGTTCTTGAACTCCTGAATGACTGATTGACTATTAGTACAAATTATTACATTTGAGTTTTCTGATAATATTTCTGACAAGACACAAATGGCGAACACTTCTGTTTTTGTTGTGGATAGTGAGTTGGTGATTGAGAATTTGAAGTCCACTTTAGGTGACCATGAAGTCCATGCTGCTCCTGCTGAAATTGTGGGTGAACCAGAGTTTACTATTGATCTATCTGTATAGAAAGTATTATCTGCATCTGGTAAATTTAGCTTGATTTTTGAGTATTACCAGAGTGAGTATAAATCTGAGTTTCCATTAAAGTGTGTGGATATGAAATGGGCTGGTATTTTATAAAGGTCTCTAATATGGTTATATTGTTTGTTAATAACTGTTGTGTCAGATAAAATACTATGATTGGTAACTCTTTGTGTTAATTTGATGAACCAACTTGGCTCATAACCCTGTTTAGTTATTCTAAATTTACGTTTATACTATTTCCATGAGATCAGTTTTGTATTATTGTATTTAGTGAGTTGAGAAAGAAAAAGAATATTATCTTGTGCAAGGGATTTTTAGTAGGTTTTATAATCAGGCCAGTTGTTAAGAATTTTTGAGATGGACCATTTGTGAGAGAATTATGTTAAAGTTGAGATGTCATTGATAGAGGGAAAAAAAGACATATTATATTGGTACATTAGAGGTATTATACTTGTGATAAGATTTTTTCCAATGGGGGAAGGTTTCGGTATTGGATTAAGTAATACTGATTCTTCTATCTACTATTAATATTGGAGCTTTTGTAGTCTAATTTGGATAGTCATGCCCATGATTGTTCTATCATTAAGTCGCAAAAATAATTCAGAGATTTTACTTCTTGCTAATATTTCTGGTAAGCTTTCCAGTGCCAAAAGAGCTGGGTGATGTAAAATAGAGTTGAGACAGTCTGAAGGAAGGTGTGACTTTTGTTTTACTATTTTCTTGACCTTTCTCATGATTGAATCACAGAAAGTGACTGAAGGAACAAAAAGTTGTGTTTTGTATTTAATAGCAGGGAAAAGTACTCTGTTGAAGATGTAGATGGCTTGTTTTTCAGTAATGAATTTTTTCCCCAGGAGCATTATTATT